GGCAGGGGAAATATAATCAAAACTTATCTTCCAAAAAAAATAAAATGGACAGAGTTAAACTGGCTCTTTTCAGTAGAAATAGGATCAAGATCCTGTTTGGATCAACTTGACCATTACACTGTATTATTGCAGATTTCCTTTTCACTGAAGTTAAGAAAATCTTGGTTTTTCTACCTTCAGCTCCAATGTGTTTAGAAAGAGTCTTCTTTTGTTGCCTGTCTTAAACCCCAGCGATCAGCCTGGACGACCGTGGGTCTCAGCCTGCTTGCGTAGACTGAAATCATTAGAATCAGCATACCCAGAACCAGAAGCAGCCCTCACAAAACGTTCTCAACAAGGGACACTAATGAAGTAAGTTCCTCTCTCCTGGGAGGCCTTCCATCAACTCAAACTCCCTCACGGATACCACCCTGAATGGAGGGCCTTAACTGAAGTTGTTTCAGCTGGTTCTTTCGCATAACAACATCGTGCAACATGTCAAATCTTCTAAGGGAAAGGCTTTACCCACCTCTTCAGAATATTCTGTGCTGTCTACAAGAATCAGAACAACAAAACTTCACTGCGGAATTTTCCATTTTACATAGAATAAGAATCTCAAGCAGAATGACACTTTTCACTGAACTATACTCAAAGTAGACTGATTTAGGAATGTACTCGTAAGATTTAGAAACAAGAGAAACTACCTTTGCCAAAACATTACAGAAATATACCAGTAAGTAATGCTAGGTGGAAAGACAAAAGTTTGTACCAGCATTAAACAATGCTAAACAGCAACTTAAAAAGAATATAGAAATAAATTTTTACATAATAAAATGCAGCTTTTTTGAAAGGAAAAAAAAAAAACGCACAAGTGAAGACATTAACTCATCGTATGAGGAAAAAACCCCAATAATTACATTTAAAGTAGTCTGAGGTTCTTCTAGACTTACTGTATCCTTAGCTGCTGGATCCAGTTCCTCAAACTCTATCAATAAGAGCTTTATGTGTGTTGTGTGTTGTTTCCTTCTTTTATATACACACACACATATATAAAAATACAAATAAACAAACTAACTCAGTTGTTGAGACACCTGAAGACCATAAAAGAACAGCAGAAGATACATTGCTCTGTTGCATTAACCAAAATTCCACTGGCCAAAATTGACTACAGAATCTGCCTTCCTCCACCTACAAATAATTTTGGGCTTAATTCCTTTTAGCATACAGAAAGAGACTGAAAGGCATTACTGTTTCTTTTCTGTTTAAGCTCATCACCCAAACCTAGAAAATACCAGGTAATAAATAGAATATCTATATAATTTGCATTTTGAAATGTTGAAGGTTATAGCCAAATCTATTAGGATATATTTAATCTCTGTCGCTATTGCACAAACTGATTTATGCTTAGTAAGATGATGCTTAAACTTGAGAACTCTTTATTTCAGAAATAATTCAACCATGTTCATTATACCTTTATATATAAAGCATCAAAGCCATATCTATATATCTATATACATAATTTCAGAGTTCTCAGTTCCAAATCAATAGCAAAATACCAACTTTAGCAGTGCCCAAAGCTGAGAAAAAATACACACAACCACTGATCCTCTTACACACATTTCTACTGTTTGTATCCTTACTACAGCCCTTTCGTCTGCAGTTTCAACCACAACCAGCCACCAGAGCCCTCTCCCATGTGGGAGCATCAAACATTATCTTCAGTGACAACGTAATCAATAAAACTATACCAACTTGTAAGACTACAACAGAGCAAAAGGTACAAAATCAGAAACACTTTTCTACCAGATGAATCTGAAGGTTTTAAATGCCAGAAGTTGTTACATTTCATATTTACCTGGGTCGTCTTTTAATACGATCTTTATACGACTAAAATGTTTAAATAGAAAAGCACATGCTCATTTGACCCAGACATAAATTTGAGGAGATATCACTTAAAAAGTTGAAATATGGATTAAGGAAGTTTTTGGTAACACAGATTTATCTTAATAAAAAGGAGTTTTCAAAATCCCACTTAAAAAAACAAAGAAGGAAAAGTTAACAGTTTAACCATTTTGATTTAATATTGTTTCCCACTTTTGTACAGCAGTAAAAGTAAAAATGGTACTTCATGAAAAGAACTAACAAGATATTCTGTCAAATAAGTTTGGAAAGTAAATAGAAAAACATGGCAATAAGAAATTTTCATTTATCAAAATCCTTTCAATTCCTTAGGTATGGCAGAAGTACATTAATCCACTTTTGATTGAGCTGATGTGTCTGTTGGTATCTCTTGTAACGTTTTAATCACTAGATACTTTTCTATGTAGTATAAGTAGCACAAAACCAAAGCTATTCCATTGTCCTTTTCAGAACAAGCTTTAGTAAAAGTTTGTTATAAATGGAATTTCTATCTTAAAATTAAAATATTCAGAAGACCAGCATTGCCATACATAAAAATGGAAAAAGCATAAGAATTACCTGAACTCCTCCCGCTCAAAGAGAAAAAAAAAAAAAATCAAAACCAAGCAACCAACCAACAAAACCCCCACAACAACACACCAAGCCAAAAAAAAACTTAAGTGATTCTGCAAACTGTGGATCTAGTGGAGCCTGTTTTCCCATGGCCTCCTTACTGCTTTCTCTGGTGTCAGAAATGACTAATGACATGCACTTCAATTAATTCTTATTAAAAAAATCAAAACACTCCAACAAAACGAAAACCAACCACACACACAATCCCTCTTCCCTCTGTGCATTTGTGTGCTCTTGTTCTCTTTCAGAATTCTCTGGTGTCTAATAAAGATTGAGTGGCAGTTTTTTCTGCAATGTGAACCTTAACAGGATGTCTTTTTCCAAGCTAGTCACCTACCTCTCATGAAATGTATAACGACCAAATTAATTTAAATTGGTCCACTGATACTAAGTTATGGCAGGGATGACAGAAAATCAAGGATATACAAGGACAGACAAGACACATGGTATGAGCGCACAAAACCTGGCCTCCTAAGTCCAAAAGCCTATGGAAAGGATTTTACACATCATACACATTAATTTCCTGCTAATGAGGCTTAGCATATTTGCCATGCCACATCTGCATCACTGGTGTTCTGCTGGCTTTTCAGGGTCAGACGTGAGGAAGACTCGTGGTTTCCACAAGGACTTCTTGTTGGTTATCACTAATATTCCATCCAAAATTGCAACACATCTCCACGCTAATTAGGAGTTTGATCACTCCCTAGTTGAAGCCTATTATGTAGTACCAAAAATATTCTACATCAATCTGTTAAGAGTGATGTAAAGCACTCACTTCAAAAGACAGCAGTCAAGATACTCTGCTGTAAGTGATTAGCTAGAACACATTGACAGCTTCCCTTCTGCTAGAAACTGGTAGTAGTATCTGTCATCACTAACCACCCCAAAATAAATAATGACAATCAATACAACTGACAGAAGTGAAACATTATTAATACAAAAAATCTTCAAGACTCATTTTATACTTCATACCTAAAAAAAATTTTAGTAATTCATCAAAAGAGTAATCCTCATCATTTAACAGCAACCTTCAAAAGAAAATCCCACAAACAAAAGACCACAGCACAAATGCATATTTCAGCTCCACAGGTAAGGCACTTTTTTGTGCTGAGAAGATCTTTTAAAAGGTAAAAGCAACATGAATGCCTCGTAAGTTTTACAACACAGGACATTGCACTCCCCTGTTTACTCATTTTTGGTTTTTTTCCACCTCTGTTTTGCAAACAAGTAACGTGATGCACACAGATACACACATCCTTGTCAAGCGTCTACTAAAATGACTTTTCACCCAGGCTATGTACTATCCCTGTCTAAGGACAGCTCAAGTAGCATGATGAAAATGCTGAATGGTATCTAACCCCAAAAATATGTGATAATGGTACAAATACGCTTCTGTTCTTTGAGTCACAAAAGTTTAAAACGGTAATCTAATTACAATGCAAGGCTGACTGATTTTCTTAAACCAGAAAGTTCTCCAGAGAAGTTTCCTGAGCAGGAAGACAGTTCAGTAACAAAATGTTAAATTGTGTTAGACCAACCAGCGATTTGGAAGCCTCTAGCTACTGTTCAGTTTTCAAAGCTGTTTTCAATGAAATGTATTTGTATGCTAATCTCAAAGTCAATTTGGCTGTGTCTGATTACAGCAAAGAACTAGATGCATGTGATAAGAAAAAAGTTTACTTAAATTGATATATGTAATTTTTTACAGTGATTAGATAATTATTTCCAGAATGCGTTTTCAGCCACGTTTAATATGAAAATAGAAGTCATACCTTTAACATTTCTAATGTATTCTTCTGCCTTCTCCTAATGCTTAGGATAAATTCCATTTCTAAAGAATCAGTGATTTTTATTACATGACAATCAATGGTCTGTCTACAGATCTACTAGAAAATCATCATAAAACGGAAGAGATGCACAAGCTACCACAAACACAGGTTATCTGGAATTAGGAAGTGTGCCTTACAGTGACATCCCAAACAGACACCGTTTGCACTTGACCACCAATCGCTTTCTTAACATCACAGAGAGAATCAGAGGAGTCGTAACTATCACTGCAGAAGGGCGCTATGTACAATTACGCCACTTAACAGGAAGCAAACGACTGTGAGGAAGGCTGAATCGCAACAGTGCCACCTACAGTGAAGAACACTACTGGGGAAAAACAAATCGGTGTGGAGTCAGAAAACTAACAAAATCAGAACTCCATAAGCAAAAACTGATTTCATGAAAAAAACTGAGATCTAATAATATTATGTACATCACTACAAGTTTTATAGACTTCCAAAATTAGTCCCTGCCTAAGTTGAAAGCATCTTCTTAAATCTGAATGAACATGCCATCAGTTTTCCTAATTACAAGCCTTTGCTAAATACAAATCAAACAGTAACATGTTTCTGAAGTTCTAATTCCTCATTTGGCTTTTTTGTAAGTATAAAAAAGCACGATAAGAGCCACGTGACAACAGGCAAAGACTGCTGCAAACTTACCTTGCATTCTACTACACTCTGATCCGACTCACATGTAACATAGATTTCATCAACCGCCCGTCTGAGATTGTCAAAAAGAAATGCCCAGTATCGAGCTCGTAGATCAACTTTTCGAGGCTGTCTTGTTTTTGTTGGGCTTTTGTCAAAGTTTTTATCTCCAGCTGCTGCTGATGTTAATTTACAGTCTATGGCAGTGCCCTGCAAAAGCAAGATAGGATGGAAAAGGAAAACAACAAACAGAAGTATGGTAAGAGGCTGGGATTCTGTGCAATACGTTTTTTCAACATATTCAAACATTTGTAAACAAGAAATTTTTCACTGAAGAAGACTACATCATCCCACTGACTTGAGTTTCTTAAAACACACTTTCTTATCTTAAATATAAGCAGCAGCTACTTAGAACTAGATTTTGTTTCTTTGACGTTTATAACTCAACATTCACACTGCACAACAGTACAAGATATTCTGCCTCTTGGCACATTGGAAAGTTACAATTTCTAATTACATATCCCATATTACTTATTTTGGCAAGTATGTGCATCCAGAGATGAAAATAACATTTTACTAATAATCATACCAGCAATATTCCATCACAGTTAAATCCTATTACCAAGACATTACACACGACTTTATCGTTTTTAAACCCGCATTCTAATATATGAGCATTAATGTCAGTGATCTGCTGATGTGGCAAGCCCTGTGATCGATATGTTATGGCTACACCGCAGAGGAGATGCCAGCAAGCACTGAATTAGTTACGAAAGGAAGCTTTCACACTTTACAAGACTCCTTGTGCTAAGACTTCCACTCACCCTATTGTCAATATTGCAAGCTCAATTCAACCCAGTGTATGCGCTGTGCCAACGAATCAAACTGCTCCGACTTACACCAGGTCTGAGACTGTCCTCACGCTGTTTTCAGCTGTAATTTAACAGCTTTAGCTACAACAAATCTGTTTTGATGTTCAGTGTTAATATGCAGACTAACTGATCCAGCACTGCCTTGCTGCACAGATGCAGAGGACTGCCAACATGCTCAATGTGATGGGAGCCTTCACAAATGCTGGCACAGACAGGAATCACTAGGCACCAGTTTGGAAGCACAGTTATGCCACCTCAGTGTTACCTATCTGTTGTCCTTGGGCATTCAGGTCATATGGGGATATGTTTCCTTGTCAGAGACAGCCAGTCACTCATCTGCAGAGGATATTCCAAAGGATTCTGAAGCACGACTGTTTGGCTGAAAACACCAAATCAGTACTTGGCCCCATAACACTGTCCTTATTAAATCTGAAATTCTCTCCCACAACAAAAGAAAAACAAACAGAAAAATCCTGCCACCACGCAAGACTTCTGTAAGCTTCTGCATTCCATAGCAGCCAGGTGAATAAGCACCTCCAGTAAACCCAAAGTGACGCCCAACCATGTGCCATTTTGTGATGGAGGCATTAGGTATGTGCTACAGTAGTCTGGTTTTTGTTTGCTGCTTTTTTTTTTTAATTAATGCATTCATTTTAACAGCACCTTTCACGCAGTTTTGATGCACTGGTCCACTGTGTCACAGATCTCCAGAAAATCAGTTCTTACTGGTCTACCCTTGTAGAGATTACTGCAAAATTCCACTCTAAAAACTGCTTTTGGTGATTGAACAAAACCAACTGAAGCCAACATTGCAGAAGCCAGTACACAGAGTTTATAATTAGAATACCTAATCACTAACTAAAAATACCATAAATCACAAAACAACTGACTGGGACTCAAGCCTTTTCATCCCCTATGTAAAAAGCTGGGAAACATTATTTCTTTGCGCTAAAAGATGAGTTTAATGGTAGGTAAAGTTTATACTTGGAGATGGAGAATTCTTACAGAAAAGTCATTTTAGACCTCAGGCAACATAAGGTAATCAGGACTGTAGGATAGTTTTGGATGGACTTATCAATCAATCACACTTTATGAAGAAATAAACAGAATAGAGACCCAAAGATTGTACAAAGTCTAGAGAAAATGTTCCTCATTCTCCTTAAGACGATCTTTGTTTTCTGTGGATTTCTCTTGAATTCCAACAAATTGTGTCTAAGCTACGAGAAGTTCCCTGCACGTTTAGGAAATACGTAAACGAACTCATATTTCTCATGCTCAAATTACAGAACGGGAAAGTAGGGAATACCCAAGTGATTTTTCCATCACCGTATTTAAGAATATAAATGCCTTTCTTCTCCAGATTTTAGGGGCCTTATTTGATCAATTCATAACATAAACACAGCCTCCCATTACAAGGGAACTGAACCCTGACACGAAGATAGAATCTGCAAAACTGCTTAGTAACTTCCAGAGCCCTGTTTCTTCGGTAGTCCATCTCTCTGGGTTCCAGGCTGCTCATTCCTCCCAGCGCTCTGACTACCTGTACCACAGGGCATTAAACACAGCAAATTCCACTGTATAACTGGGGAGGTAGACACAGTGCTGTCAAAACGGTTACACTCCCTCCTGCATTTGTGTTCAGATTCTAATTCTTCTGTAAGATGGGGGAGAACGAGAACCTGATTTACTACAATTGTACTAACACCTCTGCTACCCTTACCTGTATCTCAAAATGCTCTTACTCCAGATGAACCCCAGCTAATGTTCGCACGAGAGACGTGCTCAGAAAAGATGCATGTCACAAACAAGCAATGAACAGGAATTTCAGAAGGGTTTCACATGCCAGAGAATTTCATATTTCTTCTTCTATGACATCAGACTCGCTTCTTAAAGAACAGCTTGGAGAAAAGATGTTCCTTAGCTGAGGCCTTGAATATAAACCTTTAAAGCAAACCTTATACTGGCTAATTTACAGCTCCTTTAAAATACAGTTTATGACACATCCTTAACTACAGAGCCATAAATAGCTATATTAAAGTAACAACGTTACCTTTTGCTGCCTGTATTTATAAAACGTGACCTTAGTGGAGTGATTAGGTTTCTACTCATTCAGCTAATATTGTTGATAATAAAGGATCAGTTGTTTTGGAATGGGAACCATGCATAATTCCCACTACTTGAAAGATACATTTTCAAACGTATCTTTAAGATAGTGCCATGGAATATATTTTGAATACCTGCAATAAATCATAGAATCATAGAATCATAGAATGGTTAGGGCTGGAAGGGACCTTCAAAGGTCATCTAGTCCAACCCCCCTGCAAGGAACAGGGATATCTCCACCTACATCAGGTTGCTCAGGGCCTCGTCCAACCTGGCCTTGAACGTCTCCAGGGATGGCGCATCCACCACCTCTCTGGGCAACCTGTTCCAGTGTTCTACAACTCTCATGGTAAAAAATTTTTATTTATGTTATTTATATAAATAAATATAGTGATGCTAATAAATAACCAAATGTTATCCATCTACTACATTTGGCATCCATTTATCATCTCTCTTATATGTCAGCCATATTTTAATTAGGAAAACAGCATGTTGAACTGTGCTAACTACTGGAAGTTGTAGCAGTTCCATTATTACCCCTGTAATCAGATGACCAGTGCCTAAGTAAAACCTAAGCAACATTTACAGTTACTCATATTCCAGTAGAACACCTTTGAAAGGATGCAAACTGCTAAATACCAAATTTCTTACAAACACAATCACACAAACAGGTAAGCATTAAGTTGGTGATTAATTAATAGAAATAATATTTTAAGTTCCTGATACAAGTCATTTCTAACACTGTACATTTGAATTTGTCACAGTCTTGTATCTGCCACTCAAGGAAACAGAAGTCAATTTTCAGAGAAGAACCTAAATTGTGTCTCATGTTTGGAACTTCAGTCTCAAGAAATTCCATGAAAAAAGATCAAACTCAGCAAGCTACTTTCAAACTTATTCAAGTTTGACTGGCATCAACTTTACTGAAATGAAAGCCAGTACTCACTTAAATTTAAGAGCTGCATCAAAGACTACTTTTAATATAAGATACTACTAGTATTTTATACAGATTGCTATATTTCTGTATAAATGTTTAACACAAGCAGGATTTCTGAGTTCATCTGTATATTGTTCAGCAGAATCTTTACCTGTAAGCATCGTAAGCAAATTTTCTAATGAATCAAACCAACCTTTCGCTGTGAAAAGCCAGAAATGCCAGATTAGGTACAGACTTTCCAAGACTGTAGTTTCTGTGCTGATGTATAGCTGTAGCTTTATTATTCTCATTCATTCTTCTCGAAATTAAGTTTTAAATAAATGGTATTTATTAAAAGTATGTACTTTTGACCAGATTATATTTTTCGGTGTCGTGCTCAGGTTGAGAGTGATGCAACAGTGAAACTCCAGAGATCTCAGCCTCTCTGGTATTCTGAGGGAACATATGGGCACAGGACAAAACATTTCTAACAGTGTAGTCTGAAGAATGGTAAGACAATGATCCCAGATCTCCACCAAGATGGAGCTACATCCAAGCCACATAAATTCCACCTACATCCTTGTGTGTGGTGCTTCAACTAACTCTTAGCAGATTTTTCACTTTGGTCAGTAGTTAAGGCACAAGCCTCTTTCCTCTGGCAAGTCACAAGGATACAGAATTAAGTTTTTTGGAGCAGAGTTCTAAAGCTCCAACCCTGCAAACTTCTACAGATCATTCTTAACTAGATATAAGTACTTACTTTTGAATCTTCTAAGCGATCTCAGAGTCCTTAGCCTTTGAGAACACACTTATCCAAAATTTCATCTACATTCAACAATTTTGCAGACCATTGCACATTACACAAAAAAACCGATCTCAGAGTCCTTAGCCTTTGAGAACACACATCCAAAATTTCATCTACATTCAACAACTTTGCAGACCATTGCACATTACACAAAAAAAAACAGTAACATCAGTCATAGAATCATAGTGTTAACAAACACATCAAAAAATAGCTTGCTTTGGCCTCCCCTTGACCCTCAAATAACATGTATGTTTACCCAAAGCGTGATGACAGCTTATACAGACATGATCTAACAGGCCTACACTGAAGCTTGTCCTCACTAGAACAACAAACCCACCCAAGAACAGCAAAGAATCAGAGGGGTTAGCTCATATTATCTCACTTGTACTGATAGTTCAAACCTTCAGCTGCAGAAAATGCAAAACTTCTGTGCCTTTAACATTAAGAAACATGGAAATATTCCTTCTTACATGTCAAGTAACTCAGGATGGATGATGAAAGTGACATTAAAAGGGAATTATTTTTTTTTTTCCAAAATAGTTTCAGTAACTTGCCTTGGAGTTCTGGAAAGTATAAAGTGTATATTTATTCTCAGGATGTCAAAATTTATTGAATGTAGATTTAACAGCACACTACTGAGAGGAAGACGAGGTTGATAAGATCATATAAAAGAGCTCTTGTAAGTTTATTTTCTTGAGATTAGTGGCCCATTTACATGTAAAGGAAAACTAAAGCTGAAGGCTTGATAAAAGTAAGAAAAACCCCATCAATTTAGAGCAGTATCCAGTGTCTGAAATGCAGTAGAAATAAAGGTGCTGAATGTCAAATTTAAATGCCAAGATGCACAGACACTCGGCAGCCCATTTCAAACCTTAACTGCACCCACTCGGAATGCACTGTTCCTACAATAGTGTCGTACAGCAGAGCCACTGAAAACAACCAGGGACTCTCCTCAAAACTCAGTACTTCCACCATCCCAGTGACTGAAACAGACAGAACCCAAACTGTGCAGCACACTACTCTTGCACCCAAAGCGTTCTGAGGGTAAACCCTTACAGGGAGCCTCAACTACATCAATAAAATTCCACCTTCCCAGAACAAGAAAACCAGGATACACAGTATTGGTAACATACTCATATGTGAAGACAGAACACGAGGTCAATAGTTGCTAAACTAAAATGAGAAAATAACATGTCTGTTTTAAACAATGCAAATACATCTCTATGGAAGCAGAACTTTTTTTTTTTAAATAACATCTTCCATATGCCATATTATCAAAATCTGACAGACTGTCTCAAAATACTAAATGGCTACAGCCGTACTAATGGCTAAATCCATTAATCAAAGAAAAGCAACCGTTAAAAATATTAAACATGAGAAATATTGAGGTATTATTTTATTAATGTAATTGTCAGTCAAATAGAAAAAACATGAATAAAAATAAGAGCAGTTTCTTCTTGACACTTCTCATTTGGACTCGCTTTCCAGTCATAACTCTTGGAAATTTTACTCACCCAGACTAATTTTTTCCAAAACAGCATATATTGCCTTCAGCCACTAACACGAGGTGAAGAAATAAAGCATTTCCTTAAATTAGAAATTGGGCAGAAAGGTAGCCTTTGTATAAGCAGCATGCTTAGAGGAAGAATATCCTGTATCATTTTATTGAACAGCACTTTCCTTAAAATAACTTTAATGCCAAAAAGTCACACATCTAGAAGTCAGAAAATGCCAAAAGTAAAGTCTGACGAAGATAACTTAAATTCTAGAATTTTTTAAACTTCTGAATACTTGACTTTGAAACTTGTATGCTTTAAAAATAAAATATATGCAGCTTTATATATGTTTTATTCAGCCAATGATGTATCAGTGATATATAAAAAATTATTTTTATGTCGTAATTTTTATGTCATAATAAAAAATCAGCAGATACCTGTTTTGCAGTCTTGTGTGCTCCTTGAGTCACCCTCTTCGTTTTTCCAGCAGCTTGCCATTTTGATTTTCCTGTGGGAGAAGCAACTGTTTTAATCAACAATAATGATTTTAATTAGATAGAGTATTCTAAAATGCATATATCTCATCTTGCAGTGCACTGAGATGGGCACAATTTATGAGTTAAGAGATTTGTAAAACTGTATATTCCAAATACACATTTCACAGTTCAGAGGGTGGATAATGCCAGAAAACACACAGAAAATTAAAAAAATTACAAAGAAAGTCAAGAATTATAGACTTCATTAAACAAAGATAATCCAACTTCTAAGTGCTCAGTGCCTCCGAAAATCATCATTACAACCTACGTGTCGAATATGATGCTGGTTTTCTACCCAGATTAAAAAAAAAGTCTGCCCTTGAATGACTATTCAATCAGATATTACAGAATTAAAACAAGAAATGTCTTTCTTAGGAAAAACAAATGTAATAATTTAGTTTTTCTCAAACTGTTCAAACAACCAACTGGTAGATTTATGTATTTTCTGCCGAGAAAGATGGGGGAAAACAGAACTTCGGACTGGATTTAGTTCAGCTATGTTTAGGTAGCCAAAGGAAGAGAGAAAAACATTCACAGAGCACAAGTCATTCCCCTTAAATCTGAAATGCCTTCTCAAATGTATCTGTCTCCCTCCACTGCTTATATTAAGTGACTTCAGCAACTATGCTTCCAAGAGCAGTTTAAAGTCTCACAGTCAAAAAAGATGATTTTAGGTCTCAGTGCTATGGTGGTGGCAATTTCTTAACTGATTAAGAGTTATCTCTGCTTGGATAAATTTGTGTTAGCCTAGACCCACCTGACATGTTTGCATTTAATCTTTGAGATTTTCTCAGGGGTAATAAAAAAAATTTTTTTTTTTTTAAGTTTTATTCCTCCAACTAAGTATTTAACTTGCACAACCTGAAAATCACAGGATCCAATTACCAAAAACGTAAGCATGTTAGGACAAAATACTATGGCAAGAGTACTCTCTAGCATAGATTATATCTAAATAAAAGTTTCAAGATCATTTAACTGGATGAAGCCAGGCAAGTAAATGCATTAGTTGAATATAGTTCCTTCCTAGACCACGGAGAAAATTCTTGAATTTCAGAATTGTCCAGTTGAGTTCTTAACAGTTCCTAGGCCAAATTCCCTAACACAGTCCAGCTGTTTTACATGGCTCTGGTTATGCAAAGCAGCTGTAAACCTGTCTTAATCAAGCAGTTGTACAGCTGGTTTGCATCATTGGCTATTCCAGGGAACAAGGCCTTTAATTTTAAAACAAATTAAAAATTATTTGCTTGATAATTCATTTTGAAAATGATACATTAGCCAAAACAACAGGTACAAATTAATATATTGAAATCGATTTAGCAGCATTCAGGAAAAAAATTTGTTCAGCCACCATACATATAAAAACTTCCTTTTCACCAACAAGCTTAAACTGCAGATCGGTTCCACGTCAGAATTATTATAACTGAAATATTTTAATCCAAGTCTCTCTTCAGAGACTATTTACATTCTGCAAAGACAACATTTTGAATGCAATGGCATACAGAACTTGCATGGTAAAAAAGGCTTACAAACAAATATGGGCATGTTAAAATCAAAAAACAGCAATGAACACCAAAAAAAGTTGTGGTTTCTTTAGATTATACAAAAAACAGAATACTAATCCCTCGTCTAAGAACTGGGAAATGTCTGAAAAGTCCCCTGTAAAGACAAAAGCAAGTTTTCAGGCACTTTCTATTATAAGGCAGACATTTAGAGAAAACAAAACTTACGTAAATACTAGGTTTTGCAAACTTAATAGCAAATACCAGGTGGCAAGGACTAATTTTATCTGAAGGTGTATGTGCCAAAGGGTTTTGTATTTTAGCAGCAGCCACGTTTCTGAACTTTATTATTCTTTTCTTCTAATAAGTGCCTTTGGTTATTTGAAGATGTCTTCCTTTCTGCTTTTATCCTTCTATGTTCACAAGCAGTGACAACACAAGAGCACTGCTCAGTGCTTGTATGTTTACTACTGGTATGTAACTACACAACTCTAGCACTGCTATGAGATGCACAAGAACTCATTCGACGACATAAGAAGGGCATTACCTGCTAGAATTTACAGAATTTTAAGAAAAGAACAATAGAGGCCAAAGATGATCATCTCATTAAGTTGCCAATGTGAAATATATGAAGTAGCCAAGTTTTGCAGCATTCAAAGAGCTACAGCTGTATTTTACACTTGAAGTCCACTTCCTCGCTCTCTGGTAATTAAATATGAGGCACACAGGGTTTATGATTTGTGAAGACTTCCTGTCACAAAAAGCTGAGGTGCTCATATCTCCAAACAAAGCCATTGATAAACTATTTTCAAAAGCTGTCTTTTATACTAACAATCATCCCTCTCATCTCTCTTTTTTGGATAGTTTGGATAGTATCTCTCATACTGATGTGAGAAACGTGGGAATTGCCTTTAAAACTTAGTGATTACTAGCAGCCCTCATTCCTG